ATAACATTATGTAGTAATTATCTTCACCATCTATAATGTATTTTCATTTGAAAAGTTTAGCTAAAACAATGATTTGAAGAAAGAAAGAGTATTAAAACTTGTGCCAAATTCTAAACTGAAAGCGATAAAAAGAGACAACTGTTTAAACATTTTGTTTCAAAAGGCCACAGAGAAAAATATCAATGTTGAATCGGTCAAAGGACACACTCATGTGTCACACACTCATTAAAGTAATTTGTTTTAAAACAATTTTTAAAGCGTTTGTAAAACTGTCAAAGAAAAAAAAAAGGAACAACATAAAACCAAGGCAAACAAAATGAAAATACCATTAAACTAAATAAAGCAATAAAATAAAGACTGTTTTAAAAAAAAAAAAAAAAAAAAAAAAAAAAAAAAAAGGACGGCTATAGTAATTTGTTTGAATAAAACCTTGCTGACAAAGACAATACTTACTGTAAAGCAACACAAAAAAATAAAACCAACATAAAACCAATGCAAACAAAAAAACATCACAACACAAAGTAATAAAATAAAATTTAATAAAATTTAATTAAATTAAATTATATAAAATTATATAAAATTAAATAAAATAAAATAAAATTAAATTAAATTAAATTAAATTTAAAAAATCTGTTTTTAATAAAACCCACATCCATGTGTAGATAAAGTAATTTGCTTCAATGACATGTAACTGTTTAACATAAGGCAAACAAATCAAAACAAAACAAAAATATCCCTATTAATAGGGAATATACAGTACACCCACATGCCCTAACTAGAGTACTGTTATATGAAAGCGAATTTCTGCCATGGAATAAAAGTTATATTTAAAAAAAGTTATTGCGTATTTTTATCTCACAATTATCTCACTCTTTGGGATATGGGATTGTAAGTTTACAATTCAGAAATGCAAGATGTAAACTCAGAATACCAAGAAAAAAAAGTCAGAATTGCAAGATGTACAGTAAACTCAAAATTCAGAGAAAAATGCCAGAATTGAGAGATGTAAAAATCTTAGAATTTTGCTTTAAAAAAAAAAGTTAGAATCGTGGTATGTAAACTCAGAATTCCGAGGAAAACGCCAGAATTGCAAGTTGTAAAATTAGAATTCTGTTAAAAAAAGTTAGAATTCCAGAATGTAAACTCAGAATTCCAAAAAAGGTGATGTGACATGTGGCCAAGTATGGTGACTCATACTCGGAATTAGTGCTCTACATTTATCCCATCCAAAGTGCACACACACAGCAGTGAACACACACACACCGTGAACACACACCCGGAGCAGTGGGCAGCCATTTTTTTGCTGCGGCGCC